CGTCTCTCCCGCGCAGCCGCACTGCGGCCCACCGGAAAAGGACTACAAATCCCGCCGTGCAGCGCGCGCCCGCTGGTGCCTTTTCAGACAGTAATGATTCCGCTTTAAATGCACTGCAAAGTGAACGATTCTGAGGTTTTTGGGATTCCCATTTCCCCCCTTACCTCCTTCTGGGTAGATAACATTTATATCCGTGTGTAATCGAAGACGGAAACCAACGCTAGCCTTCTAAACCTCGGTTCCTCGTCAGTAAAATACCTTTTTTCTAGAGTTGCTGTTCATCCCTCAGCCCCCTCCCTTAGAGCTGAAGGCCCTGGACTTCTTGCGGGAGAAGGGCGTGCTGGTGAGCTCGTTCCGGTAAAGACTAGGGGTTGGGGAGGAGGGTTATTGAGAAGGGGTCTGGATTTGTTTAAATAAATAAATTCTTTGTTTTTAGAAGAGACTATATGCACATGATTATATATGCAAAAAAAATGACAAAAGATACAGAGTAAATTCCTTATTCCCCACCCTTCACACCCCTACCTTAACCCACAGATCCAGCAGTTTTGAACTGAAGAAAACAGTGGTGAGCTGTCAGCGACAGGCAAGACCCTGGAGCAGGGCTGTGGACTAGGGGGGTTCTGGGGTGGCTGGAAATGTGTTAGAAAACACATCTTTTGTGAATTTGCAATTATCTCAAAATAAAAAGTTGGAAACAAAATATTTTAAAGATAACACATACAAATGTAAGATAACTTGGTAACAAATTTTAAAAGTACAAAAATAGAGTGAAAAGTAAATTTCCCTCCCTCCTGTGTGCCCAAATTCCCCTTCAGAAAAATATTGTTAAATTGCTTGTGGGCCTTTCAGAAATAGTGGAAGAGTAAATAGGTGTGTGTATATCCTTCCCCCTCCCACAAAAGATGGCACTGTTGCTTACATATCTTGCTTTCTATGACAAACACATGTAAGAAATCATTTCTTATCAGTATATGCAGATGTCTCACTCTTCATGGATGTAGCATTTAATGATATGAATGTATAATTGTTCACACACCCATATTCAACTATCATTCAACTGATCCCCTTGAGGGACATTTACGTAGCCATGAATTTTCTTGTAAACAATGATACAGGGAATATCCCTATACAAACTTCATTATGCACATGTAAGCTTTTTTCATCAAATACGTATTGCCAAAACCTTAGGAAGAGGTTCTAACAATCTACATCCCCCCAGCATCACAGGGGAATATCATAAGGTCCTAAATGAGTCCACACATGAAGCTCCAAGAAGGCTCTTAGGAAATGAGCCCCTTTCTTTCCTTCCCTTCCCCACTGCAACCAGAAATTCTTGGAGACTTCAGACCTTTTCAGACTCCAAAGAATACCGATGAAATCACTAAAATCGTGGAGTAGGAGACTAGGTGGCGTTGTTTTCCCTCCCTAACTTTCATTTTCAGGAGTCTTTTTCATGTGCTAGCCCCCTCTGCCCCCACCCCTGCCTCCATACATACGCAGAGGTGTCTATCTCCCAGTCCCAGATGAAGAAACTGAAGAACAAAGTGGTAAAATGTCCTGCTCCAGGTCACATGGCTGATATATGACAGAGAAACGATTAGAATTCAGATGCTACTGAAACTGATACGCTGTAATTAACCTAGTCTATACTAATAAAAGAGTAATACGCTAATTAGACCAGGAGACCTTCCAACAAAGCCATGGTGGTGGGGCCAAGGCAGAGGTGGTTAGGGGTGATCAGGCCAGCAGGGGAGGGCAGTTGGGGGCAAGCAGGTCAGCATGCAGGGGGGCATTGTTGGCGGCGAGCTGGCTGGCGGGCAGGGCAGTTGGGGGCAAGGAGGCCAGTGAGTGGGGCATTTGGGAGGAAACAGGGGGGCAGGGTGGGGGGCAGTTGGGGGCAATTAGTCCAGCAGGGGCGGGCAGTTAGAGGTGATCAGGCCAGAAGTGGGGGCAGTTGGGGTTAATCAGGCAGGCAGGTGAGCAGTTAGGAGCCAGCGGTCCTGGATTGCAAGAGGGATGTCCAACTGCTGGCAATCAGACATCCCCTGAGGAGTCCCAGATTGGAGAGGGTGCAGGCCGGGCTGAGGGACATCCCCCTCCCCCCACACACACACATACACAAATTTCATGCACCGGGCCACTAGTTCTTAATAATAGGAAAGGAGCAAAGGGAAGGCCAAATATTATAGGTGTGTCATTTGGGCAGCTTCGTTTACACTCCTTAGGGGTCTGTTCTGTTTTTTTATATGTTATATTTCATTTCCCTTGTGTTCTTTTTCTATATTCTATAAACAAATGTCAGAACCCACCGTGCTTTCACAGTGACTGGTACAGAATAAACAATCACGAAAGCCTGGCAGTAGCAGCCCTGGCAGTTTGTTGTGGTTTATTTCAAAGCTTTAGTTGATGGATTTTTGCCCCCTCGGAATTGATACAGCTGCCTCACCTGACAACTGAAACCGCTAGTTTCAATAAAAATCAGAACAGTGGTTGCCTGTTGGGGGAAAGGAGGATTGGATTGACTAACAGGGTATGGGAGAACTTTCTGGGGTCATAGAAATCTTCTATGTCTTTATTGGAGTGTTGGTTTACACAAGGATATACATTTGTCAAAATTCATTGACTTATACCCTTAAGACCCACACATTTCACTGAATGCAAATTTTTAATTCCATTTTTTAAAAAAATTAGCATCTTGCAAGTCAAATTAAGCTTGATCCAGGGAAAGGACAACGTCCAGAGCCACAGGAGGGCTGGCTGAGTGGAAATTCTACAACTAGGAGTAAAGAGAATATTATACCCAGACTCAGAGGCGGCGCAGTGCTGAAGTGAAATTCTGAGGTAACGAGGGCGCGCGGAGCGGGGCTGGAGGCGGCGCGGATGGCGGCTCGGGGGGAGCGGCGCAAACAATCGGGAGGGAGTCCCAGACTCTGAGCTCCAGATCCCGGCGAGTCGCTAGGGACACAGACGGGAGAGGTGGGACGGACTGGCCTCGGGCGGAACTCGAGGGCAGCGTTCTCTCCGAGGTTTGCAGCGGTTGCTGAGACTTTGTGAGGCAGAGTCCCTTGGGACGGAACTGAGAGTCGCACACTCGGGAGGGAGTCACAG